CACCACTTGACCACTTGCCTCTGCTGACTAGGCTAGGTGGACTGCCACCACTTGACCACTTGCCTCTGCTGAACACAGGTCAACTCCGAAAGGCCACTTCTAGAAGTCTCCAACTTGGCCTTTCGGTACTGTAGCAGCTACGACTTTGCCCCTTCAGGTAAGTAGCAGCCACGACCTTGACTCTTCAGGCATCCTACAGCTACGACTTCGGAACTGTCCAGACTCCTATTCTACAGGTCTACAGTTCGATTCCTTTCTACCCTGTGACCTACAAAACCCTGCCTACCACTGGCGGTCCTACAGGTCGCGGGTTCAAATCTACGGGTTGACATCCATACTGTACACAGGTAAGTTGGGGAACTAGGGATCGAGCCCTGGGATCTGTCTCAACTACCACGAATTGGTGAATACCGTTTCATATCTATCTATCTATCTATCTATCTATCTCGTGCTCGCTCGCTTGTTCTCCTATCAGCTACATGTTTCCCATGATCACTATTTTAAGATGGGCAAGCCCCTGGAGTTATGCAGGACTCTAACTTAGGATATGTTTACTATCAGTTATGTGTGTGCATTATCAAGCAGAACTTGAACTCTTGAGCTGCTCTTAAAGAGGGGTGAGCCCCTGACACCATTCTATCCTTGTCTTTCAAGCAGGACCCGAACATAGGATCTGTTACATGACATTGTGTGCACCATTAAGTCAGATGGGCTGCCTGGCAGTCCGTGGACGGTCATGTCTCAAATTGCAATGTATGGTTGTGGGCTTGTAGACGTTGCTGGCTTTTGCAGGGTAGAGACACGGTAAGTTGCTTTGTGATCCCTGGTCGACGCATTGTGTACAGCTGTTTATGCAGTTCGCTTGTATTGTGATTACAAGTTTTGAGATGTCCTTGCCTTTGCTTTGTAGTGTCATGACTGTCATGCCCAGTTGCTTTTGGTGCTGGACTTTAAAGTGATACAGTCAGTTGTTTTGCTTTTGCTGTGGACCCGAAGCTATGTATCCCCAGCGGCCGCGGTCACCGCGGGCACGGCCGCTGTCGTGACCGTGGTCCTTAGTCATAAAAAAAAAAAAAAAAAAAAGAATTCAGAAACATCTGAAAATATATATGTTATGCCTAAAAATAAACTGAACAACTTTTGCCCTGGGGTCATATCAAAATACGTTACCAAATTTGAGATACAAAACAAACAAAATCCTTTGTTTTTCTAACTTAAAGAACAAAGTGAAGAAGTTTTGCCTGACGGATTTCTGTTTTTCATTTTTTTTAAATAAAAAAAGAAGTTAAAAAATAGAACAAAAAATATACGGTTGTAGAGCGCACAAAAACCTACAACTCTCTCTATATATACAGGGTAGCCGGCGGGCCGAAGGCCCAAACCCGAACGCCCGAACGTATAAATCTGAAAAAAAGATATGTTATGAAGAAAAATAAACTAAACAAGATTTGCCTGAGCATTACATCCAAATTCGTTGCCAAATTTGAAATAAAAATAAATTACGAAAAACAAATACTAATAATAAAAATAACAAAAAATAAAAAAAGAATTAAATTTAGTGAGTTCGCAAGCACGCTTTCGACACCGCCATCTTTGGCGATTTTTCATTTTTTTTGGGAATAGCTAGATGCCCTGAAAATTGAGATGTGTGTACTTCACATAATGCAAAACACACTCAAAAAGTTTCAAGAAATAATAAAATTGTTTAGACCCCTAACTAAAGTGAAAACAAAAAGTAAAAAGTGAAACAAAACGTGGGCAAGCACGTTTTGACACCGCCATCTTTGGCGATTTTTAATTCTTATTTGGCTGAGCCCAATGACTTGAAAATTTGTAGGCGTTTACAGCACGTCATAGAGAACGCACAAATTTGTTTTTAGAAAAAACAAAATATGTTTAGGCCCCGAAATCATTTTTGGCGGGGGCCGAACGCCGTCGGGTCCGGACCCCGTACGGGACCCCGAACGCCCGTACGTACGGAGGTCTGCCCAGGGACCTCCGTACGTACGGGCTGGTAAACCTGTATATATATATATGTTTTTTCATTTTTTAAAAATATTTCAAATCCACGGCCGCGCCCGCCCGCTCGGGCCAACCGCCGAGGTCGCCATCTCGACCGTGGGCCGAGATTGACGCCGCGGTCATGACCGTGGGGAATTCATAGACCCGATGTGGTCCTTGGGGCCGGCTTGGCCGGTGATGAGGTTATGCTCACCTTCTCCAGGGGTCTTGGAGAAGGAGGGTGGCGACCATGCCACAAGACTGGACGAGGGGGGGGCAGGATGAGCGGAGGGGATGGGAGCAGGAGGAGTGGAGGAGATTGGAGCAGGAGGAGTGGAGGAGGAGGTCGTAGCAGTAGTGGAGCAGGGGGTAGCAGTACGAGTGGAGGAGGGGACAGCAGGAGCAGTGGTGGAGGGGGCAGCAGTAGCACAGGATGAGGTGGTAACAGGAGGAGTTGGGAGGAGTAGAGCAGGACGAGCGGAGGATGTCGCCATGGTGCACGATGCTGCCCATGCCACGGAGGGTGGCGAGGAACACCTTGACCCCCTTAGGCAGCAGTTTATCACGGAGGAGATCGATCCGCTCATGGGGGGTCTCACCCCGGGTGTGTCAAGGGCGTCGGGGATGTCTCCACCCACAGGGTGGCCGGGTTCAGAGACTTCCCTGAGAGAGAGGACGACGACGGAGTTTCCCGATACGGCACGCGACATGATGGAGCGAGAGAGGGCTCGACGGATTGCAGACAGCGACCCACGTGCTCCACAAGAGGTTAACAGCGACCCCCACTTTTCCGCCCTGGTTAACCCCCTCAACCCTGAAAAGAGCATTGGAGATCATTTTTTTTCGTTTTTTCTGCTTTTTTTCTTTTGCCCTGTTTTATTTTTGGTCAAGGTCTGTGTGTGTCAAGTTTGGTGTTTGTTGGGGTCTTGGAGTTGACTGTTTTGGCTAGCCCTGAAAAATCCTGAAAATCCTGAAAATTTGAAAAGAGTGGATTTTGCATAAAAACACATTTTTGCCTTGCTGTTTTATAGGTTTTTAAAGTTTTTTTTGATAAGTGGTTAGTATGATGTCCACTTTATGAATTGGTGGCAAGTTTTGTTAAAATGACTGTTGGGTTTTGTTATAAATGACCTGGCAAGTGGTCTAGAGGCCTCACGTGCTCAGGAGTTTGCACGCGCCTTGGACGAGCGCAGGCGTCGAGAGACGGGGCGTGAATGGCAGGCTGGGGCACATGAGGAAGAGGAGGCTATGGAGGGTGGGGCACAGGAGGTGGAGGAGGCTATGGAGAGGGTGGGGCATGAGAGGTGGAGGAGGCTATGGAGGGTGGGGCACGGAAGGTGGAGGAGGCTATAGAGGGTGGACAAGGGCGACACCGGGGGGCTGAGGACGGCCCGCAGTTCAGGAGGCAGAGACGGGTTCAGTCGTCCCATTCTCGGGAGTCGGGCCTGCAGTTGACAACGGCCCCACGTTTGCATTGCCGGGGGTGGCAGTGCATGATGTGCCACCGGACATTATCGAGGATTTGTGGGCGGAGACGATCGTTATGCCTTCAGCTCCTCAACGACCAGCTCCGGAGGAGGCGGATCATCCATCGGATGCAGAGGAGCTAGCGGCGGCCGCTAGGCACGATGTAACTCAACTGGACCGGCGGTTATTTTAGAGTACTGTCGCACTTCATCCCCCGTGGTAGAGGATTCCTTCAGTTCCATGGGCCCCTGCGTCGCCGATGTGGTCTGGGTGTACTTGAATTGGAGCAGGTAGCAGGGCATACATTTTGGGGGTTTCAGGGGGCCTACAGGAGACAGCGCTAAGTACGACAGACATGCGACTCCCTCCTTCTAGACCATGTGAGGGGGATCCATTGTCGTCGCCCTTAGGCCCAGGCTCTCGATCCCCGTCCACGCTCAGGAGATCGAGGATTTGTGACACGACAGCGGTTGGGCCGCTTATGCGTAACATAACGTTATTCGAGAGGACGGACATAGACTTGGATTGCACCCGAGCCGGTTGACGGAGCATACTGCACGCCATCAGCCAGGTTTGGGAGACCGAGGTACTAGGACGAGCACGACGAGGGGAGGTTGCAGCAACAAGTTGTGAGCCCCAGCAATGTCACAGTGGTGGAATATTCACCTCGAGCTTGCAGCAGATTTCGACAGCAGCGACGCATGCTGTGCAGAAGCGGACTTCACACAAACACGGAGTGCCTCGTACACGCCCCTTGCCTGCAGAGGGAGGCGCAATACTTGGAGATTGTTCAGGGGCAAAGGGATTGGGGATGCCTCGTGGATCCCGTCATCAGGAGAGGGTTGCACAAGCCAGTACGAGGGTTGTTCGGGTGAGGAAGGGAGGCAGCCCTGTCACCATCGAGGAGGATGATCTTGAGACGGCGCCGCCAGTGCGGGAGGAGGACGAGGAGTATGAGGTGGAGAGCGAGAGTGAGGACGAGGAGAGCGAGAGCGGCCGCTGTGCCGAGGACGACGACGGCGACGATGAGCCCCCACCTCCTCCACCCATGTTGCTTCGAGACGCGTCGCTGTGCAGACGTCTTCGCCCGCACGAGGGAGGGGAAGGTCGACATCCGATACTCGAAGGGGTATAAGGAGGCAACAAGGGACGGGAAAGAGGGGTTGATGACCATGAGGCCAGCACTCCCCTTTCCTCTCCTTGCACACGACTTCGTTCTGGATTGTGCTCCTACTTTTTTGGTCATGCTCTCTTATGGTAGTATTGTGAGGTAGTGTGTGTACTACAATTATTGTCATTTTTTTTATTTTATTTTTTCGTTTTTGGTATTAATAGGGCGTCACTACAACAATTTTAGTCGCCGTACAATATTTCGGCACCACCGGCGCGACTTGTAGAGTACTCTTTTTTTTTAGGTTTTTTTTTTTTTTAATAACTTTTCCTAGCGATCTTCAGCTTTATTGTTTTTTTTTTTCATGTTGAGGGTTATTCAACGTTTTCAGTCAGCGAATGACATGAGTAGGATACATTGTATTATGTTACATTTTTCATGTGTGATTTCAGTGACAAGTACTTCACGCTTCACGACCTTTCATGTCCATTTTTGTCATTGTGTCTGTTTTTTTTCTTTTTTTTTTGCGTGCGGAGTGCGGTGTTCGTTTTCTCTATTTTGTTTTAAATTTGTTGAATTTTTTTATATAGTCACTTATATTGACGGACCAATGTTGGTGTTGCACAATACTTTGTTGTCGTTGTTGGTGGTATATCTTTCTAACAATGACATGTTGCACTTGCAAGTGAAAATTCACACATGCTTCACATATGGTTAATAGGTGGTGTCATTTTCGACGGATTTTTCACCGAAACTGCCATATTTCCCCGAATTGGTGTTTCTTTTGTTGTTTGTTTTTTTGTGTGATATGTATGTGGTTTAGGGTATATTTGTATTCAGTTATTTGGCTTATGCTTGACAAAAAAGAGCTATTCGAGGATTTGGGGGCGATTTGGGGGATACTCGGCGGTAAGGGGAGTAGGGGGAAGGGGATAACGTTGTGTGTTCTCGGCGGTCTGTGTGGATAGGTGGTGTGTGGTGATGCATTTGAGGGGAGGGAGCGAGGGTGGTTGGAGTTTTTCAGGGGTTCGGGGGTGGGTTGTGCCACGTCTGGGGGTCGGTTTGGGGTTGTGGGGGCCTCGGGGTCATGAAGGCTCGACGGGTGGGGTTATTAGAGATCAAGGGAGGGTTCAAATTTTTATTTTTATTTTTTTCTGATTTTAGTGTTTGGCCGCATAGGGCCACGTGTCCGAGGCTCAACGCGCCCAACCCGTTGTAGGGCCCCACCCTGTTAGACTTTCGAGCCTTAGTCGACCCTTCAACGGGTCCCAGTTGACTCGGCTCCGCCCGCGCTCATGCTCAAGGCACAAAGTCATTCGTCACAGAGTTACCCCCACTTTCTGCTTTGAGATGGATGGGGGTGGATCAACGAGCGAGAGAGCTTTGACATTGGGGATGTAGCTCAACTTTTTCGCTAGGTGTGTAATCTCGTTGATCCTTCGCAAGCGCTCATTCCTTAATGTTTTGTTGTGTTCTCAAGCAATTGCTTCTTCCAATACTCAAATGATCAAGGGGGTAATTTTATAACTTTTTCTTCTTATATGCATAGGCTAAGCATCCTCCTTGGGCCACGCATCCATTCACTAATTGCAGGATCTAGCGGCTTCATCGAGGTAGAGGGACGCCCCTCGGCTTTGGCCTGCAGACTAAGTTGCGTTGGCACCTGTCGCCTCACTAGGACGCCCTCAACTTCATCCTCTAGTCAATCTATGTGCTGACTTTCTATATCTCATGCATCATACATCATGTCTTGTTGCTTCCCTTTACACCCCGTAGTCCTTTCGGGGCCCCATCCATACTCCCATGTGACTTGGTGGCCTTCTTGACCACTCGTTACTCTCACAGGCGCCCAACCACTCAGACCATATTTCTTCCTAACAAACCGAACAATATGCTCTAAGGCTCGTTTTCATGGAGGAGGGTTATGTTCAGAACCCATTCGGCATCTGTCCCTTTCCGCCATCCAGCCTCCCCGGACGCTATCCAGCTCAAGGCATCCTAATATTACACACCTGCACACTAAATGCAATATAGACAAGTACAATCCTCATTCCGAATCATTCGGGGTCAACACATAATCCCTCCCGCATGCTTATTTTCTTTGTCCTTCGGCTCCTTCCTTCTTCATTCCTTCTCATTGCCCATACCATTTTCTTCTCATTCACATGCAGTCGAGGTGTCGATCGAGTCCACTAACCTTTCTTTCTTTGAACGAGTTTTTTCAAACCTTGGGTCCTTGCCAATTCTCAAATCCTTATGAATCCTCTAATCCTTTGTGCTCATAATTTTTTTCCAAATCTTAAGCACTTTTCCTTCTCGGTGGCGCAAGGGACCGACAACCCTGAGCTCCCCTTGCCTTCTCTTTCCACCAAATGAGCCCAAAGTTCTTTTCACAGTTCGTTCCCAGACAATGTGACAAGTGAGTGGGGAAGGGTTAGTCGCATGGCATGAGGAAAAGGGAGAGGCGCGTTAAGAATAGGTTTTAGAGCATGAGAGCGGTAGATGAGAGGGAGTCAGTGAAATAAGAGAGAGAGAGAGAGAGAGAGAGAGAGAGAGAGAGAGAGAGAGAGAGAGAGAGAGAGAGAGAGAGAGAGAGAGAGAGAGAGA